AAGATATTGTGCCCAACTACAACTAAAAAATAAATATTAAAAAAAAACACTAGGAAACCCAAGGAGTCATGAGATCAGGATAGTGAAAAAGCAACCCAGGAAAGACTTCCAGCCCAGAATGCCCACACAGGACACGGCAAGAACCAGAAAGAGAGTTGGGAGCATATCCATTATAGCATCTAGTAAGCATTACCTTAACTAACATACCTGAAATAAGGGATAATTTATAAAATAGAGAAATAGAATATAGACTTTTGGACCAAGGCTGTAGCTCAGTGGTACAGCACTTGCCTAGTACATGTGAGGCACTGGGTTCGACCCTCAGCATCACATAAAAATAATGAAGAAAGACTTGGGACTTAATTCAGTTGGTAGAGGGCTTGCCTCGCAGGCACAAGGCCATGGGTTCAATTCCCAGCACCACACACACACACATAATAATAATAATAATAATAATAATAGATTTAAAAAAGAACATAGACTCTTTTTTTGTTTTGTTTTTTGGGGTATTGGGGATTGAACTCAGAGGTAGTTTACCTCTGGGCTATATCCCCAGTCCTTTTTACTTTGAGACAGGGTCTCGCTAAGTTGCATAGACAGCCTCACCAAGTTGCTGAGGCTGGTTTCAAACTTGTGATTCACCTACCTCAGCCTCCTAAGACAACTGGGAGTACAGTTGTATACCACCTCACCCAGCAATGATAGAAGTAAAAAAAAAAAAATTATTCTATTTGTTTGTTTTTATGTGTGCTAAGGATCAAACCTAGGGCCTCACATGTGCTAGGCAAGTGCTCTACCACCAAGCTACAGCCACAGTCAAATGCAGGCTTTTGAGAAGAGTATTTGTAAGATTTCACATTTTAAAATCTGCTATTTAATAAAGTAACTTTGTGAGAATTCAACTTACCTAGATTTTTTTTTTCTGAACACGTTAGTATTTGTCTGAGATTGTATCCTCCTTGCAAGGTACTAATTAAAATGCTATTATTTCATGGGTGCTGGCAGAAGAGGCTTGTGTCTTCTTGGGTAGAAGACAAAGGACTTTATTATTCATGGTACAGAAAGGTATATGCATTAATACATTTTCAATGACTATAATCAAAAAGCTTCATCCCCATCCTAACTCCTGGAACCTGTGAATATGACCATATATATGAATAAGAATCTTGCAGAAGGATCTTGAGATGAAAACAATCTAGATTACCCATGTGGACGCTGAATGCAAGGATACACACAAAGGTGTGGTGCAAGCCTATAATCCCAGCATCTTGGGAGGCTGAAGCAGGAAGGAATTCAAAGGGCTGGTGTTCTGGGGTGGAGCACTTGCCTAGCATGCAGGATGCCCTGTGTTCAATCCCCAGTACCACAGACAAAAAAAAGACACAAAGTAGAATGGGAGTTGCCAAGAGCCGGGGGAGGGGAAATGGGTGCAGAATTTCAGTCATCAGGATGAAAACGTATGCAGAGCAGTTGTAAACCTATAAAACACAAATGCACGTGTGTGCCTGACAACGCTGTGATGCAGGAAATCCATTAAGATCTCTTGTTACATGTTTTACACGATCTGAAAAACACAGACACACACAAGAGGGACACGGTGACAGAGACAGAGCCTGGAGCGGAGCCACAGGAAGCTGGGCTCCAGGGAGACCCAACACAGGTGGGAGGGAGCTGCCCTCTGCAGACACCTTGGGGGGGGGGGCAGTGTTCCCCAGCAGTAAGAGAACAGCTTCTGTGCTTTACACCACCCAATTGGGATAGCCTGTTGCAACAGCCTCGGAATCTAACAAGGAACACAACTGGCATTTTTTAAATCTAAAACATTTTTTTTCATTCAAGGAAAGAGTCTTTCTGAGCCTACCAATTTAAGAAGTCACTCAGAAAAGACTTTTGAGCCCATCAAAGTAAAATAAAACTTTAAAATGAAGTAAAATAAGGGAGAAAGAAAATGGTACCATAGCTCTCCAGACAGAAATGGAAGAAATAACTGGCT